AGTATTGATTCAAGTTTTATTGTTGCCTATGTTAAATAAAAATATGAATCACCAGAACTGATTATATTGTAGGACCGAAATGAGAATCAATTAGAAAGGACCGAGCAGAGAAGGGACCCAAATGAGATATCATCGAATAGGACCAAATTGAGAAAGGACCGAAGTGAGAGATCATCGATTTTGACGAAAACAGAAAGGGACCGAATCGAGGGTAAACCTTTACCAGTAATCTTCAAAAATTAAAAATTATTTTATTTTATTTACGATAAAATTTTCTTGATTTGATGTAACTTATGTAATTTTAAGAAAAAAAATCTGGTTATTTGATAAATATGACACTTGATAATCACTTGATTTTCTGTAATAAAATATTAAATCAATATCCTTCGGTTAGTGCTGAGATAATACTGTGTGTTTCGAGAAATTGAAAATGAGTATACAAGAAGAATGCAATATACTCGAAATACAACAGCTATGACAGATCTTGAAATTGCAAAAGAACGAACAAAATAAAAAATATATTTCAAATTTTCGACCGTTCAATATGCTTTTCAAAGTCTGCTTGAATGTTTTTTATTTATTTTTAAATACATAAAATTCGATTACAATAAGTATTAATCGACAATAAGACGATCGTAATTCAACGCCGCAGCAGCAGCAGCAGCACCTCCTCCTCCGAATGTATATCTGCCTGAATCTAGTGGATTATCATGAACACCCATATAATCATCTTCCATCTTAATTTAAAAACAAAAGAACAAAACATAATAATAATAATAAATTTTGCTTTCACAAAAATATTCTTACTCCTGGTTGATACATTCGTTTAAATTCAAATAATTGTGTAACAACAAACTCTAAAATTTGTTTTCCACCACGTTGATCAGTTGGCATACGACTTGATATACCAGCAATATTCCCAAATTCTTTAATAAATAATTCTAAATCTTGTTCCGAACATTTATTTGTTAATTGATTTAAACGTGATGTTTCCGATGCAAAATAATCTTCAAGATCAAATAATTCAAGTGGTGGTGGTTCACAATCACGAAATATTGGCGGATAAACAGCTGGTTTAAGTGCTGGCATAGGAACTTCAAATTGAGGTTTTATTAATGTTAATGGTTCATGTTTCATTTGAAGTTCTTCATATGATCTAATCAAAATAATGATTAATAAATAAATAAATAAATTTATATTCATCTTCTTACCGAACCATTTTTGGTATAAGTGTTAAATCAAGATTATATAATTGAGTATCAAGTAATTTTCGTACATCTTTGGGTAATTCTTCAACATCATGTAAACTACATTTTAACATTTCCGACATTGCAATTAGATCAGGTGATAATGATTCATCTGATATCTAATTGAACAAAAAAAATTTTTTGTGATATTCTTTTTTTTTCTTGAATTATTCAGAAAGTCATTTTGAAAACTGTGGATTCAAAGTTTAATTTATTGTCAATCTGGATTCAGAATTATTATATACAACTCGAATATAGACATAATCTATTCAATTTTTGAAAGTCACATAAGAGTTTTATTCAGAAACACGAGGTCATCTCGATTGATTAATTGCAATGAGAATTATAATGAAGAGCTCCTTTGGTTTTCTTCAAGCTTTCAGCCTGAAAAAAGTTGTCTACTAAATTTTTTGTTATATGTTATCAAATAAATGACTAATTCTTAATATTTTAGCATGCAAATAGAGCCCAGTCTATATTCTTTGTTTTTAGTTAAAGTTTCAGGTAATATAATTGAAGATTGCTGTCTCGGCATACGTTTCTATCAACATGATGATTATCTGAATGGTATTTTCATTTAGTAGAAGGTTTTTACATGAAATTTGTAGGTAGTAATATTCTAACTACGGCCAACCCATTCGAATGGTTATGGAAAACTAACTACAATTCTAGAAAGGATTTATGAAATTAACACGGTAGATAACCGAAAGAAAACACTAAATCATGAAGAATCGATCGACTTGAAAAAGTTCTTTTTTTTTTTTTTCAGAACTAAGAAGTTAATAGGATAGATGAATGTGATTCATTACCATCTATCATAATTCTTGTTGCATTTAAGGTACACTGATGTTCTTAGTGAAACATGTGCACACAAATTTTCAGATCTTCAGCATATATAATAGCCGAGATACACTAGGTGATATACTTTTCGTCCACTACTGTAATTAGTTTAGATAATATATAGTTCGTTTTCAATGAAAAAAAAATCCTAAAACTTTAAGATCCAATACTATTCAAGTTCTTTGTTGTTTAAATGAAATCAAAATTAATCGACAGATATGTTCATCGGAAGATAGCTTTAGGTTAACCCTTTGAGACCCGAATTTGCTGAAATTTTTCGAATATGTTAGGATTGTAGTGGTGAGGCTACGATAAAATTTTCAGCTCTATGCCATGATGTTTGAGCGAGATATTCACCAAACAAGGGAAAAAAATAGTTCACTTTGCGTCCAATATTTCTCGGTCCAGTCTCGTGCTATACGTTTTTCTTTCTGTGTTAGAAAGAACATGTCAGAATGCAGGGGATCATAGAGTCGGTTTTTTGAATTCTTACTTTTTTAGCGGAGAAAGACGATTACAAGTTCAAAAAATCATAGATAGAGAAAAAAGCGAAAAAATCTTTTTCGTTTTTTTAAAAAAAAGCCTGTTTTTTCAAGCAGCTGATTAGGAAAATCATCAACATTTTTAGCCAAAAAGGAGGTTTTGGATAAAAAACCATATAATATCTGAAAGATCCGAAGATGAGCTATCTTCCTACATATTTATCTCAATTTTCAAATTTCTGACGAAAAT